GTACAGCAATACAAAAATATATTGTTTTTTATATCCTAATTGTATGAACTTTTTTCTTTTATTATTTTTACTTTTTTTTAATTAAAAACTGAACAAGCACATATACATTAGCCTATCCTGCAGAGCATCAGGATTGTCAATATCACCATCTTCCATTTTCACATCCTTTCATGCCTGGTGGTCTCCTGGGGCAACAACTCAGACTGAGCACTCATCCACTGTGAGAATAGCATCACCTTCTGGAATCCCTCCTCTTTTTAAATAAGTAAAAAGTGTACACTTTAACCTAAGGACAAGAAGTATAGTATAGTAAGTATACAAATCAGGAGCATAGTTATTTTCTTTCTTTTTTTTTAATTGTTTTATTATTCATATGTGCATGCAAGGCTTGGGTCATTTCTCCCACCTGCCCCCACCCCCTCCCTTACCACCCACTCTACCCCCTCCCTCTCTCCCCCACCCCCTCAATACCTGGCAGAAACTATTTTGCCCTTATCTCTAATTTTGTTGAAGAGAGAGTATAAGCAATAATGGGAAGGAACAAGTGTTCCTGGTTGAGATAAGGATAGCTATACAGGGAGTTGACTCACATTAATTTCCTGTGCGTGTGTGTTACCTTCTAGGTTAATTCTTTTTGATCTCACCTTTTATCTAGTTCCTGGTCCCCTTTTCCTATTAGCCTCAGTCATAGTTATTTTCATTATCAAGTATTGCATACCTTATATAATTACATAATCATGTGTTATTTTTTTATGCTACCGGCAGTGTAGATTTGTCTGTATATCACCAAAAACCCACAAGTAATGCATTGCACTATGATTTTACTATGGCTATGATGTCACTGAGGAATAGGAATTTGTCAGTCCCATTGTAATCTTAAATGCAATCCATCATTAACCAGGATGTCTTGTGGTGAGTGCGTATATTCTTGCCATTCACTGAACTCTTTAAGAGGAATAGTCTAAATTCTGTTTGTTGTTTTGTAGATCTCCCTTTTTTTAGGGTCCATTTAGAGTTTGTTAGTTTCTTTTGGAGGTGTCATGATTTCCTGATTCTTCATGACCCTTGTATTCATGCATTGCTGTCAGTACATTTGAGGAGATTATCTCCTCTGCTGGCTTTTACAGGTGTTCTTTGGCATGATAGACCTTTGTCTTTTAGTTTAGCTGATTCTGAATGGATCTGTTGCTAACAGCCTGGACATGCAGAGCTTGCTTTCAGATTACCATAGTTTACTCTGAGTTTGGATAGCACATCTGGGTGGACTCTGCTATCTGGCAAGATCACTGGTTGAACTGTGCAATCAGTCTGAGAGATTGGATGGGGCTTGCAGTCACAAGGGTGGGCACCAAAGCATATTTTCTGGCCAGACAGTAGCCCTATTTGAGTGCAGCAGTTTAACAGGGTTGCAGGAGGGACCCAATCTTAGGTGGAATCATTGACAAGGATGCATGGGACCAACTGCTATGTTCAGTAGAAATGCACATTTGAGGTTTGCCTCCCTACCTAGGCAGGGCTTGGAGAGGGCCATGAGATGAGGCTGAGCACTTTTCAACTGGATATGACAGGTGTAGCCTCTGTTGTTTGATGAGATTTGTTTCTGGACTTGTCTCCCTGCCCAGGTAGGGTTCTGGGGTAAGGTTTGGCTGGCTATGGGTTCAAAGAAGGTAGAACTCATCACTTCTAGGAGTGACCAGTTTGGCCTTTCACATGGGCTATGTGGCTAGCTAGTACTTCTGATTGGATACTACCACTGGCAGGCACACACAACTGTCATCAAGATCTGCAGGCTGGTCACTAAAGTCCACCTGCTTTCTTTATTTCTATCTGACCCCGCAGTGGTCTAGCTATGTAACTTCCCTCTATCTTCCCTATGGGCTAAGGTTTCTTGGGAAGCATCTCACAATGCTAGGAAAGCTAGATGTCCACCTGTAGTTCTCTTTACCCTCTAAAGAAACCTTTGCTCCTGGGGAATCCTCTGGGTGGCACTATGCCAACTTGGGAGGAGGGGTAATGCAGTCAGGTGACGCCATCTCCCTTCCCCTTCTTAAGTGCTTTTTATCCAGTTCTATGGACCATGAGATACTCAGACTTTCTCCAACTTTTTTCACCAAAGTGTTCTCATCTGTGGATAGTTGGTAGCTACTTGAATTTTCTTTGGGGTCATGGAGCCTGGAACCTCCAATTCCTCCCTTTTGCTGATATCTAGCTAGAAACTCTTGGTACACTTTTTCTTTTTTACTCTAGTCATTCTAGTCATGGTTTCTTCTCTGTTTCATTAGCACCTTTACCTCCATTTCCTGTATTATTCTTTGCCCCTGTCTGGGGTGTTTTCAACCCTCCATCTTCAACTGTATGCCTCTGTCCTGCCCGTCCTTTATAAACTTTTCCATTTTCTCTGATTGTCTCCCACCTTCCTTTTTCCAATCTTAATTACTCCATAGTTTCTAGGCACTTTTAGATCCTTTCTGTTACCTGATACTCAGCACGTCTTAGGAGCTGACTTACAGTTCCTGGAGCACTCACTCCCCTGGTTCTTCCAGTGAGAATCATTGTCATACATAGAGCAAGCGCTCACCCCATGCTGCTGTGACCTCGCTACAGACCACCCACCCATTTATCTTCTCAACGTGGCTCTTGTATACCAGGGCTCTCTAGCTCTACATCCTAAAGTGTAAGTATAATTTATGTGCAGTGGAATGTATCAATCTTATTTATACAGTTCAATTATTTTTTAAAAATGCATATACTCTTCTAACCAACCCTCCATCAAAGTATAGACCATTTTGTCACCCCACAAAGTGCCCCTATTCCAGAAGTAGCTACTGTTCTGATATCAGTCAACAAAGACAAGTTTTCTTTAGAATTTTAAGTAAATATACTCATACAACTCAGTTTATATGCTCTTTTTCTTTGTTTCTGGGTTGATCTCATCATTGTTTTGAGATACATCCATGTTGTCATAGCAATCAGTGGTTCGTTCCTGTCTTACTGCTAAATAGTGTCCTGTTACATAGTTATATCTTAATTTATTTATTCTGTTGGACATATGGGCTATTCTAGTTGGGCTATTTTGAATAAAATGTCAATAAATCTTTTTTTAATTTTTATTTTATTCACATGTGAATACAATGTTTGGGTCCTTTCTCCCCCCTTCCCCCAGATACCTCCCTTCCCCCACCCCCTGCTCCCTCCCTTACCCCGCCTTACCCCACAGTCCTCCCTGCCACTCCGATGCAGGATAGAAAGCTTCTCATTGCAGAAGGGATTTGATCATATTCACCCTTTGCACTCCTTCCTTGAAGACTGAATAAAGATTAGGTGGAGCCTTGTTGCCTGCCATGTGTTTATTTGAGTTGAGCAGTGAATGGGTAGTGGCTGCTCAGGTGCCCACCTGTGCCTTTGGAAGGGCTATGTCCTTCTCTGCTGGAGAGAGCTGAATCTGGCCTGTTCTGGTCCTTTTTACCTTTGACTGTTTAAATGAAATGTCACAAAGTCTTCAGGAACCCAGAAAGGAAACCTCATCTCTTGTACCATGTGTTTAATCAGTAGTGTGTTTTAAGGCCCTTCTACCCTGCCTGCAGCTCACGGAAGCCAGATACTGGTTCATAGCCTGCTTCTGAGTCATGCATAATGACTGCACAGAGGATACCTGCTGGTACAACGCCCATGTGCTAACAGTTGCTCTTCTACACTACATGTCAGTGCTGATATGTGCTATCAGACTTTGTCATTGATAAAGAAATCCTGACAATAATTCATTCTCCTTTCTCTTCAAGTATGTTTGTCTACTGCCTTGAAACTCTAGTTTCTTTTTTAAGCAACCTGGCAGTTTTGTGACTTATACCTGTTTTTGCCACACGGTTCACAACTCGGAATGATGGCTCTGTAATTTTGGTTTGTCTCTCTCTGCCTTTAGTGACACAATTAGTTTACTTTTGTAGTCTAAGAATCATTTTACATTTGTCAGGACATCTTAATTGGTTACCTGAAAGTGACCCTGGCACTGTATGGCAGATGCCAAAGCTTAAATGGCTGTGCTTGGCAGAGTTTCCATTCAGCTGATGATGTGGGCACTGGGAACAGATAGACGGCTTGCAGGTCCAATAAAATCCAGCTTTCAGTACATGTTATATTTCTTTATCATGGTCCCCCCATCTGCTTTTATAAACGATTTATCTTTGAAGATTTGCCCTTTTTTAGAACCTTTTGATTCACACAGCTGGTTCATTATTTAGGTTTTTAATGTGATTTCTCTTCATCACACTTGGATCTGATTCATTTTGTGAATTTAAAGGATAATGCTAAGTAATAGTAACAATTAAAAAAATTCCAACTGACATGTGAATAATAATTCCTCCCAAAATGTGAAAATACATTTGTTGTTGCAGACTACATCAGACTAAAAGTCGATGAAGACCAATGACATTGTTAATATGAAGTTTGCAGACACAAAATGATAGGCCCTGGCAAGTGCTATCTTTTCAGATTTCTTAAAATCATAATCCCAGTGTTGAAATGCATGAGAAAAACTGCTTCACTGCATTATGCTGGAAACTACCTACTTACCTGTAGATCCCAGCAGAGGCCAAACCACTGGGTTCACTGTGGTGCCTGTTGATAAATGCTGCCTTTCCACGGGTGATCTGGGGACAGTGGGTTTGTATACAGCATGTTTCCTTCAATGTCAGAGTCCCCAGACTTTGGGAAGCCTGCCCATGTGGGATTGTGTTTTTCTAAGCATGCTTTTGGGAACCCTTACATCAGAATCACTTGGGGGAATGTCTTCAACAAGATCCTAGACCCCATTCCATTCTGCTTCTGAGCAGACTCTGAGAGTGAGGCATGGAAACCTGCATTTTAATAACTTTCCCAAGTGAATTCATTTACTGCTCAGTGTTTATGCAGCATGGAGTAAGAATGTCTCTCTGTTGGCTCAGGTGACACTTATTTTTGTAATTTTATGGTGTCTATTTTCTTTTTCCTATTTTTACTCCCAGGACTTGTTAGTCATGTCTGTAACCTGTTCACCGAAACTGCCACACTGTGCTTGGATAGGAGCAATAAAAACAACAAGGAGATGGCAGCCACACTGCTGTTCTCCCTGCTCGATATACTGCATGGCATGCTGACCTACACATCCAGTGTCGTTCGGCTGGCTTTACAGGTAGAGACTCTCTTTTCCTGTGCCTTGAGCAACTCTACTCCATGTTCTGCTTCCCTCTTATTTTCTCCTTTCTGATCTTCCTTTAGTGTGTATTTTTTAAAAGAATATTTTATAGTTTATCAAAAGCCGTCTTGGAGTGACCAATGTCAAGAGTAGAGAATTTGATCACAAAATCTTAAGGGAAGGCAGGAAAGATCAAGTAAACAAAGACTTAGTAAGATTTGGGAAACCACTCCTGTCGGAAGAGAGCATTTGCCTTAGGTGTACCCTGGGGTTGACCAAGTAGTATGCGGGCTTTATGTCCAGAAATGGCATTCAAACACCCTCAGCAGAATGGGTTAGCTTGCTAGGAATAATGGGTTTCTCTCTCTCTCTCTCTCTCTCTCTCTCTCTCTTTCTCTCTCTCTCTCTCACACACATGTGTTTGAATACACATAGGCATACTACTACATAAGCTTGCTTACTGGCTTTCTCTTATGACTGGATTAGAGGTGTATTCAATGGCTATGGAAAAGGTGAATTTGCCCTGGACCATGACCTGTGTTTACTTAGCATCATATTCTAAGACAGGAAGGAGATGTGGTTTTGTTGAATACTATCATGTGAGGTGCCTCCTTATGCCTACTTAATGCTCTCTCTAACCAGTTGAGTCAGCTGACACTTAGATCAAGAGACATACAGCCAATGTAAATTCATTGCTATGTTTGAAATCTTGATGAAATTGCAAGAGATGTATTTCAAATGGTTAGCACTCTAGCTTGGATAGCTGAGAAACCAAACTGTTTTCGTAACTTGCCAAGAGTTACAGTAGCAGAGCCAATAGTGAATTCCTAGACCCTGGGTTACTCTCTGCTTTTCATCACTATCATTAATAATATCTACTATCCACTGTTTGACCAGTCAAGTATTTAGCTTATATAATATGATTTAATAAATAATTCCATGATCCTCTCAACAAATAATAACTAACCCAAACTGTAAACCAGTGGGTCAATATGACCTTTCTATTTTCTAGTTGTTTTTATCTGCTTATCTATAATTCCAGACTAATAGTAAAGCATTGTTAAGTACTTATGGAATCCTAAATTTTGTATTTCTCCTATCTTATCCTCTTCTAGTGAGTCTCTCTTCAGAGAAGACTGTTTCTTATTTCAGTTTCTACAGTGGTAGTTTTATGTACATGATAGTTGCTGTCAGATGCCTTGATGATACCGATCTATGAAAGATTGTGTTCTATAGATTATAGATTTTTTTTAAAGGATCAGAAGTTATTTTTTTTAAAAAACCCTCCAAAACAATAGAAATGTTCCTTTACTGTAAGTTATTAGGTAGCTATTCAGGGGTTTTAAAAATAAAACTCCTTAATATAATATATTTTGTTTTCTTTTTTCAATTTGCTAGTATGCCAGTAGATTACTATTTTTTTCATATTATTCAACATCACTATATATATTTTACTGCTATCATTTTTCTGAATCCTCCCTCATAATATCAGTCATGTGTTGCTTTTGTCATTGACCTGCTGACTTTGATCTCTATAATACCTGGTGTCATCCTGAAAGAGGTAGAGCCCTTGAAGCTGAGTTAGGGGAAGAAGTTGGGAAAAGACATGGAGTACTTACGAAAGACACGTCTGCCTGAAACACTGAATTATAACTACTTGGCAAAATCACATGTCAGCTCTTCCATTTATAAAATACTCCACACTGGGGATTATTCTTCTGTACTTAAAACCTGTGTCTACTTCTAATAGAAGCTTCTTTAAAGTGGAAGGATTGAAGGATGTGTGTGTGTAAAATTATAGTACTGGTTAGATCTATGCTGCACTTTTCTTTTCCATGGAAAAGAGGGCATGGTGCAAGTATGTGTGGGGGGCAGGCAGTTGTCAGAATCCCGATCAGGAGTTCAGACCCTACCCCCAACCGCCCTCATGATTCAGAATTAGCCCCAGTTTACCCCCCTGATTCTTGTGTATGGAAGGTCTGCAGGCAGAAAGAAAGACTGTGCTTGAGTCTCACTGCTGTGTGGTGGGGCACATGGGGCTCGTGGGCCAGAATGACTTCCATTCAAATCCCAAACACCATTTCCTACCTAGAAGAAAGTCCACAGACAAGTTTCTTCACCTGTCTGAGTATCAGCTTCTCATCTGAAATGCAGATATGATAACTATTCTGAAGAACTATTTTGAGACTTAAATAAGAGAATAAAACATGAAAATATATAAATATATATGTGCATATATATATGTGTATATATGTATATATATATAAAATCTCACATATAACTGGCCCAAAGAAGTTACCCAACAATTGGTTTTTGTATCATAAATAGCAACAGGAAGAAAGATGTTCACCTTCTTTTCTATGGGGGGCTTCCTGTGGGCCAAGACTTGCTAATTGCTGTGTCCTGGCACAGGGGAGGGCCCTCAGTTCATATTTGCTGGCTGAAGTAATCCTGGAAAGCTTATGAGTTATTAACTTATGGTTTTAGTTTGTGTTTAGGAGCCTGATGCAGGTCTAGGCACCTATAAATTCAGCAGAGATGAAGAAAGAAAGGGTGTTCACTCTGAGGTAGGGAAGACTGTCAATACGTAAATAATGAAGCAAGTTTTCACCTTAATACATGTGTGAAGTGCAGCAATGAAAAGGTACAGGGTGCTGTAGAATGAGTATCAGGAGAGGGGCCAAACTCAGATTGGGGGAGGGCTTTTTATGGCAGGCAAATATTTAATATTATAATCCAGGTCGCCTGACTTCCTGATCTAGGCCTTTTCTGATATGTTTGAGGTGGTGTAGTGAAGCTTGTTACATACTTCTGACAGGACAATTGAGCTGCTACTAACCTGCAGGTATGTTGGTATTATTAAAAGACAATGTGGCCGCTGCATTTTTTCTTAGTCTGTCACGCACATAAAGCCTATTTATGATTGGGACCACAGTCTCTAGTTTTAGTATCTCTTGGAATTACAAAATTGTTTTCTTTTTTGGTGGTACTGGGGTTTGAATTTAGGGCCTCAGACTTGCTAGGTAGGTGCTCTACCACTTGTGCCCTCGCACTAGCCCTTTTTTTGTTTTAGGTGATTTCTCAGATGGAGTCTCATAGTTTTTACTCCGGCTCAGACCCGATTGTCTTACCTGTACCTCCCACCTAGCTGAGCCACCATGCCCTGCTGAAATTGCTCAATTTGCATCTTCTGTGGTCTTCCCCTTGCTGCTCTTCCATTGAATACAGATGAATTTTTTTCTGCCTTAGCACATAGTCCTGATCATCTCTCCTTTCCTTTGAAAACCTCAAGGACACCTCATTATTTATAACTTAACTTTCTGACTTCTGTAGAGACATTCAAGGCCTGATAGGATCCAGCTGCAGAGTGCCTCTTCAGCGTTAAATGCCAGTCCTATGCTGCCTGTACCCAAACTAAACAGTTGCATTACCATGTTCTAAACGGATCATAATCTGTATTACCCTCCTGCCTTTCCTCATGAATTCCCAACTCTAGAAACACCTTCACTCCTTATTGTTCAAGGAATGGACTGTTTCTTGTGCTCTACAGACACCTCACCTCTGTGCTTACCAGCTAACCTCTGTGGAGAACCTACCTCTGTGCACTAGATTCATGTAATAGGGCTGTATTTGGCACTGGACTTTAATGCTAAGACATTCGTTGTGTTTTATTCTGTCACTGTAGAACATGCTGTATTATCATTTAATATTAAATATGGCTCATAAGTTGACATTTCTAGGTTTTATATGTTTAAGACTATTACATGTGTATTTCCACTCAGAGTTCACCTCTGGGACCCATAATCATAGATTCAGCAGTTTGATCAATGTGACCACCAGTCCAAAGTTGAACCCAGGACTTACTTCCCAGTCTATCCCCCTGCTAGCAAGGCATGCCACCTTTACCCTGCTATGCAAATCAGAAACCTGGGAGTCTCTTAAAAGATTCCTCATTTCCATTTTCCATACCTAATCTGTCGGTAATGTAGAGTTTATTTTAAATGTCTAGCAAGTCCAATTACCTTTCTCAAAACCTAGCTTAGACTAGTATCCTTTCTTGCCTGAACCATACCATCTGGGCAGGTCAAGAACATTGAGTGGCTTGGATTGGGACATATTATCGCATATCAATGACAAAGGACAGTGACTTCTAGAAAGGGGTCAATGGGGCTGGAGGCAAAGATGGAGTACCTGGATTAAAAGGACACTAGCTATGTCATGGTAGAGACAGGAGTCCTGTCCAAAATCCACCCAGAGAACCACAGATCTGGGAGTCAGGAGGCTGACATGAGGGAGCATGATGCTGGGAAGTAGAGAGACTGAGAGGAGAGGCAGACCAAGGCATTGGTGATTTTTTTTTGGCCTTTCCATTTGCTGCCGCATGCATGCACAGCACTCCCATTGCCTGCTAATACATTTGTGAGGAGAGTTGAACTTGTAGTGCATTCCTGTTGCATACCACCACATTGTACAAAAGTTGCAACGTTCTCTTTCTAGAACCTTTGTCAACTTTGCAAGGAGGTGTTACTTGAATGCTGGCGGATAGGATCTGCTTCCTGGTGATAGTAACAAATGTCTTTGTGGATCATGGAGGATTTAGAGTTCCCTCCAGGACACTGGTTGTCCTGAGTGTGGGCTTGTTCTGTGGCCCTATTTGATTGCTTCTAAGGTTTGGAAAGGAGGCAGTAACGCCATGCCTCTCACTGCTGCCCAGGTCCTGGTCTGCAAGATGGCCTTATCTTTACCAAGAGGGAATCAATCTACTCAAAGGATGCTGTGTTAATGTTGAATGTGAAAAGGCTGATATTCCATGTCAGGCTCTGCTTCAGAAGTTGGGGGATCAACAGCCAAGATTCAGAAAGGTTCAGGCCTCTAGGATACTGCTGCACATTTGTTTTCTGTGAGGAACTCTGTCTTTCTGATAAAGTTAGTCAGGGAGGTGGGGAGAGGAAGCTCCCAGCTTATGATTGCCATCCCCTTAGCTAGACAGAGGTGCAAGTTGTTAAGACATACAGGTGTCTGGTTTTCAACCAAATCCTTCTGAACCAAAAAAAGCAGGCAACTGAAATTCTGTTCTCAGGCCTGAAGTGTACAAGCAAACTTGACGTTCATGAGAAAGACCCTGGAGTCCAGGTTAATGATCTGAGGCTGGCTGACTGTTCTGTCAGTTCAGGCAAAGGTCATTGTTTAAGAGTGGTTCTGTGTCTTCTGAACAAAAGTAAAAAGGGAGAGGAAGAACGTGTACATTCTATAAGCAAGCACAATAAGTATCAGCACTTTTTTTCTATATAAAATGATTCCTGTCTATGAAAGAAATCTCCTAAAAGATGACACATTTAAAATAAAATCCACTCACTACGCATTTCTTATCTTTTGTAGTTTAAGCCTGTAAGTCCCAAGGGATGAAGCCTACTCATGCAGTGATATATTGGGCAAATGTTCTAGGTCTTATCTGAGCATGTATATGCAGAATATACTTGGCATAGGTCATAAAATGCGCATCAGAAGACTCAGAGGAGATTAGTTTTTGTGACTTGGAACCAGCCTGTGTTGGTCCTCTGACTTTCTCACCCACTAGCTGTTTGGCTTTAGACAACCAACATGGCTTCTCTAAACTTCAGTTTTCTTGCCTGAAAAATGGAGCTCAGGATGGTTGGAAAGACTGTGTGCTTACCCACAGCAGTATGTGGACATCACCATCCTTCCTCCATCCTTGTTACTGCTTTTTCTGTGACTCTTCGAGTCTGCCTTTGCATCCAGCTGGCGGCAGTGGCAGCATGTGCACTGCTTGTCATGTGATGATAAAGCATAACGTCTCTCTGGGGCCCCATCTGTCCCATACTTGGGGTACCAAGGCAGAATGCCCCTTACATCTGCTAGACTGGGTGGTCCTGTCTCCCATGGCCATGCTGACTAATCACCATGACCCCTTTCATTTCTCTTCCCTCTGTTCCAGGCCCAGAAGTCTGGCTCAGGAGGGGACACTCAGGCTGCAGAAGACCTGCTGCTGCTCAGCAAACCACTGACAGGCCTCATTAGCCTGCTCCTTCCGCTGGTGAGAGCTCACCTGTTTGCCTATCTTTCAGAATATTGATGAGGTCGAAATCATTTTATTTGAATTTCATGAACTCTTGAGTTTCTGTGTTGTTTTAATTCCCTTCAAAACTAGAACCAAAAGAACTTCCAAAAGATCCTTTGGTTGGCAAATACTAAATCTCTACTTTAAGACAGGTGGTTTACCATTCATTTAAACAGATAATTAAATAAGTCAGAATCTCAAATTCAGTTACATTCTTAATGAATGTGAGATAAAATAAAAGAAAAATTCAACAAATGAATTCCAACAAGGAAGAAGAAATTTTTATGGGAATCAGTTCCCTTTCAAAAGAGATGGAGTTGTATTTGGGTGGCAAGTGGGACCGCACCCACCAGAAATGTGAAAACACAGACACAGGGCATCCTGCTCCCTAGTCTCAATAGAACTTGGACAAAATAAGTGAAATTAAATAAAAATATGTAAGGCTACACAAGACCACTAAATTAGGAAAAGAGCCCAACATAAATTTGGAATTTTGGCCAACTAAACAGTTTTGACCAAAGTTAAAGAGTACCCCAACATATAGACACATACCCCAGGCAACAGAGTTAGCCAGAAGGTCAATGGATGAAATTTCCTAAAATCTCATGATAAAATGAAAAACCTCATGAAAGCCCTGTGAAAATGAAGGTAGATTGGAAGCTGTAAGGGCTGCAGTGTGGGCAACCCTTGGAAATGCATCACTGTGACCTTACCTTTCCTAGAGGCCACAGCTCTTCAGTGCCACAAAGACTGGATTTTGCTGCTCTGTGGCTCCAAGGTGAGTGTTTTTTGTGTGAATAATTCTATAGACTTAATTGTATTCAGCAAGTAAAGGTTTGCTTCAGCTGTCAGAGAAAGAAATTAAATAATGTAGAAGAAATAGGACAGTCACCAGAAAGTAGCCAGTGGACTCACAGTACATGAGGGAATGCCCCAAACCTTGGGAACTGGACAGGCCCTGGCAGAATAGAGGGCTCTTTTGTGTAGGATGTTGTGTGATTTCATGGGGCAATAGCAAAGCTAACTACATCAGCTGAGTGCCAGGTCTGGATCCTGACAGACATCACTATCACAGACAAAGGCAAGGAGCAAACCAGGCTCCTGTGAACAGACCAGAGAGGCTAACATAAGCTATAGCTACACTCTCTAGGGACATAAAAACTCAAAATGACACCATTACAGATAAGTAAACTGGCAAGATATGTGATATATAAGACAATACATTTATAGCAAGAGAGGTTTACAAAAGACAAATAACATAAAAAGACTGAAGAATCCATCGTAGATAAAACTTTTCTGTTCCACATATATGTTTTATAGGCAAGATTTCAGTATTTGCTACAATCTTTTTTTCTTTTTAGAAAAAAAGTTTTGTACTAAATGTACAAAACAGTGGATTTTAATGGCATTTTCACATATTTATATGATGTGCTTTGATCACATTAACCCCACCTTACCTTGTCTTGTCTGTCCTCTCCCCTTTCCTTCATAATGTTTGGATTGGACTTAGTGTTGAAACTTATCATTGCTCTTAATTTTATTGTCTTATTTTATGTTTTTCTAGATGATTTCCTATGTTAGATACAAGATTTCATGTAAAAAAAACCTTTAGCATAACAAAGAGAAGGATTCTGTAATGGTAAAAATAAAATCCACAAGAAGATATAACTACTATATTTTTGCATCACAGTGTGGAACTATGTAAAAAGAGGATCAAAGGCATATAGGAAAAATTCAAGAAACATAATATTGAGGCATTTAACATATTTTTTTCATTGCTTGACAGATAAAATAGATAAAAATGAGCAGGGACTGGGGAACTATGCCCTGTGGGCTGAATCTGGCCTACTGCCTATTTTTGTAAATAAAGTTTTATTGAAACACAGCCATACAGACAATTCATTTACATATTGTCTGTGGCTGCTTTTGTACCTCAATTGCAGACTTGAATTGTTGCAACACATACCTTAGGTTCCACAGGCCTATATCTTTTACTCTCTGGCTCCTTACAGAAAATGTTTGTTGACAACAAACATTCTGTTGTACAAGATATGAATACTTTAATAAGATTAGTCTAATAGGAATATATTCATCTCCATATTCTGAAAATAGAGACTACACCTTCTTTACCTTCTGGGAAACATCTTTAAAAAGTTGGCCATTCATTACATTAAAAGAGTATCAGTAAACTCCAGGAAACAGTGAATATATACACCACATTCTTTTTTTTTAAATTATTCACTTATTCACATGTGCATACATTGTTTGGGTCATTTCTCCACCCTGCCCCTCTCCCCGACTCAATACCCGTCTCCCCTCCTCAGTTCCAGGCAGGTCCTGTTCTGCCCTTATCACTAATTTTGTTGAAGAAAAGACACAAGCATAATAAGGAAGACAAAGTGTTTTTGCTAGTTGAGTTAAGGATAGCTATACAGAAATATTCCTAGCATTTCTTTCGTGTACACGTGTTACAACCCATGTTGATTCATCTCTAACTGATCTTTACACTGGTTACTGATCCCTTCTCATGATAACCTCTGTTGTTTTAAGGTTTCTGTATTCGTTCCTCTGGAGTGCGGACATCAAACACTTTCATGTTTTGGGTTTTCTGCCTATTCTTATATCTCCCGTATGTGTTCTCCCCTTGTCATGTGATCCAAGTCCAACCATGTTGCTGCATTTGCCCTAGATCTAAAGTCCACTAATGAGGGAGAGCATACGATTTTTGGTCTTCTGAGCCTGGCTGATCTCGCTCAGAATGATGTTCTCCAGTTCCATCCATTTACCTGCAAATGGTAAGATTTCATTCTTCTTCATGGCTGAGAAAAATTCCATAGTGTACAAGTACCACATTTTCTTGATCCATTCATCAATACTGGGGCATCTTGGTTGTTTCCATAACTTGGCTATTGTGAATAGCGTCGCAATAAACATGGGTGTGCAGGTGCCTCTGGAGTAACCTATGTTGCATTCCTTTGGGTGTATCCCCAGGAGTGGGATTGCTGGATCATATGGGAGATCTATGTTTAGATTTTTAAGAAGTCTGCAAATTTTTTTTCCAGAGTGGTTGCACCAGCTTGCATTCCCACCAGCAGGGTACGAGGGTTCCTTTTTCCCCACATCCTCGCCAACACATGCTGTTGGTGGTGTTTTTGATGATAGCTATTCTAACAGGGGTGAGGTGGAATCTTAGTGTGGTTTTGATTTGCATTTCCTTTATGGCTAGAGACGGTGAGCATTTTTTCATGTGTTTTTTAGCCATTTGAATTTCTTCTTTTGAGAAAATTCTGTTTAGTTCACGTGCCCATTTCTTAATTGGTTCATTGATTTTAGGAGAGTTTAGTTTCTTACATTTCCTGTATATTCTGGTTATCAGTCCCTTGTCTGATGTATAGCTGGCAAATATTTTCTCCCACTCTGTGGGTTGTCTCTTCAGTTTAGAGACCATTTCTTTTGTTGTGCAGAAGCTTTTTAATTTTATGAAGTCCCATTTGTCCATCCTTTCTCTTAGTTGCTGGGCTGCTGGGATTCCATTGAGGAAGTCTTTGCCTGTACCTGTTAGTTCCAGAGTGTTTCCTGCTCCTTCCAGTAGTAACTTCAGAGTTTCAGGTCTGATATTTAGGTCCTTGATCCTTTTTGAGTTGATACTAGTACAGGGTGATAGACATGGATCTAGTTTCAGTTTCTTGCAGATGGGTAACCACTGTTCCCAGCAACATTTGTTGTAGAGGCTGTCTTTTCTCCATCGTGTATTTTTGGCACCTTTGTCAAAAATGAGGTGGGTATATTTGTGTGGATTCATATCCGGGTCCTCTGTTCTGTTCCACTGGTCTTCATGTCTGTTTTTGTGCCAGTACCATACTCTTTTTATTGCTATTGCTTTGTAATATAGTTCGAAGTCAGGTATTGTGATACCTCCAGCATTGCTCTTTTTGCTGAGTCTTGCCTTGTAGACCACATTCTTTTAACTATAAAACAATAAAACTGAAAAGAAAATAAAAATAGAAAATGCACCGTTAGTAAATATTATCTATAAGTTCAAGGGATAAGATATATCAGCCTGGGTCCAATCAGGAGATAGCATACACTGACTTAAATGGGAGAATTTTAATATAAAAAATTATTAAGCTACAATAGAAGAGTAATTGTAAGATTTTAAAAACTCTGTAGAGTATCGTAAAGCTGAGGGAGGATACCCACGGAATGGCAAACTTGAAAGAGGACCCCTCCCAAAGTCTGTGGATCAGACTCCATCAAATAAGGCATGGCTATAGCCCATAGGACATTGGGGAATTTTGCTAGGTTGCCTGGCCCAGAGCTGGTCCACAGTCACTTAGAAAGCAAGAAGTAACCCTCCAGGGAGCAGGTGAATCCTAGCCAGTGTGGGAAGACATGCAGAGCAATGCAGGTTCACTGTGGGCCAAAGATCTTGGAGAACCCAGTGCTTTTGGAAGGACCAGAGGAGACAAACCTCTGTGGGAGGCAGGCAGGCAAGGAGAGTCAGGGTACCATTGTGTGTGGAAAGCTTGCAGCACCCCATGTTTATATTGGGAAGGTAGCAGGATGGTGATCACAGGTCAGGCTAGGGCTGAAGATAATTGAGAAGATTATTGAGTGTCGACAAGTTCTGGGCACCTGATTAGGAAGTTCATAATGTCCCTCACCCCATACTTATTAAGAGTGTGGTCACTAGAACCAGTAGGGGAGCCCCTGGCTCCTACAGTGTGAGAACCATTAACATCAGGCTGAGTACAAAGAAGGGAAGCTTAAAGGAATTTTGCCCTTTAATCACAGAATACATGTTGAAGGGTGCTTTTAGAGCTATTAAGCATGTATTAAGACATGTAGCTATCTAACTCTTACCAGCATTGGATGAGTATTCTAATTCCAGAAACTGTAAGTTCTTTTTTTAAACAATTATTTAACTGGAGCACCCATCTAGCAAGTATGAGGCCCTGAGTTCAAACCCCAGTGCC